ATCTCCTCAACTCTTCGTTTTCAGGGATTTCGTGGCGTTTGTCAACCTGTTCGCTGACGACACTCAGCCATTGCCGATGAACTGGCAGGCCAGCGGACGGAAATCCGGTGAGTGAGCCCTTTATTTTGTGCAGCACCTTCGTATCACATTCATGAAAACTGCCTTTTTTGTTGCAGACGGTCTTCATTGATCATGCTGCCCGTCGAACTACACTGATCGATCCGCGCCTTCCTGCTCCAACCGTTGATCGTAAAAGGGGACGGAGTGCTCCTCCAGCTCGACGGCAGAACGTGAGTCAAGCGCACACTCGTAGTAGAAGCGTTTTAGAGGGGTTCTTTGAACTCTCTAGAAATTTCAAATTCAATGGAAAGTGAAAATGGCTACATTTTCCAAGGGTCCAGTTCTTGAGAAACGCTACAACCATGGAGAAGCCGTTTTCCCTCCGCATTGTCCAAATTGCGTAAAAATTGCTAAGAGATCTACTCTTTGACCCGAAAAGGGCTTTCGACTGCATCTGAAGTCAATATAGGCGCTGTCGCAAGATATGGGGGTATTCTCCAAGACTAAGCCTAGAATGGCGAGGACCTTTGGAGAAAATGAAAACCGCTTGCGCCCTGGAAGCATCTCCTCCTCTCCCTGAAGCTCACTCCTGTTTGCACCTCGAATCTTGCGATAGCGCATTAATATGTCAAGACTCTTGACTGGCCCTGTCCTCCTGATTTTGCCACCCTGAGCCCACATAACCCATTTCTCTAGCCATGCGTACGTACGGTCGGAGGCCTCGCATTAAAAGTGACTTTCTTCATGTCTCTAGTAAGTTCCTTATTGATTGCACAGATGGCACTAACGCACATTCAATCGCCTCTACGATTCTGAATGATGAATAGAGTGTGTGGCTCAGTCCAAAAAGAGCTAGGGCCATATTCTTTGTGTCTTGGAAATTCCGCATCTCTCAAAAATAAGCTGATTTTAGTTGGACAAAAATGGGAATAAGTGATGTTAGTGGACAAAAACGGGAACCTATTGGATTTGGCGAGCCGTACCAGCTGAGATAGCATTGCTCGTCGAGGAGCGGTTACCTGAACTGGCGCCAAAGATCAGGAAAAAGTTGCGGCTAATCGAAAGACTTGGAGCCGTCGCGTTAGCACGATTGGCTAACGACGTCGACTTGATAACGGCAATCAGGTGAGTTCCGTCCCAGTGGTGTGCCTAGACGTGCTGTCTGCGGTAGTAGAAGCAGATCCTCGTGGTCGACTACCTTCTTTATCCATGAGTACGGTACCGTGTTCCTTGAAATAGTCCTTAGTTACAATCATTTTCTTTGGCTCAAGGACGTCACAAAAAAACTGAGCGCAGAGGTCGCGAATCGCCTGGCGAGCTCGCTTATCGCGGGCAGAAACCCTTAGTACATTGAACTGTGAAATTCAGCTAGTTTACAGCTGATAAATGCTCTACTTGTCCAGGGTTGGAGCGTTAGAATTGTCAGGGTTAAGATGGATGAGGTTTACATAAAGTATGGTCAATAGTGATGAGCATGACTACCGTACCAATGAGTCCTACATAACGTAAGATTTACAGTATCGACTCGTGATGATACGGCCGTGTTCAAGTGATTCGAGCGCAGAAGCTAATCACTTCTATTGCATCACTTTCATCGCAGCGGTTTCGGGTAAAGGACTCAGAAAGGAAGGTTGAGTCTGGCGGTGGGATCGACCTTTAGTTGATCGAGCAGCCGATTATGTTTACTACAAAGCGCAGACTGTGAGCATTCGCACTGCACCCTTTTGAACGTATCAGTGTTGGGCTGTGTCGTGCGCGGCGCGCTCTCCCATTGTACGCCATCGCGTGGTCGCGCCTGCTGCCTACCTTGAGCAGCTCTTGCGAGATTCATGACCACGCCCATTCGGGCAAATGAGAGTTGGCGGTGCACCATATGAGAAGCCGACAAAGCGAATGCCTACTTTGTGCTTGGTTGACTGGTTCACAATCAAGATTCAAAAAATTATTTTTTGACCGACATTGGCTAATTTCGACGTACAGGAAAATTAACGAAAAAAAATTAGGGAAGTCAGAATTGCTTTAACAATCAGTAATTATGCTAGCAAGCGAAACAGAGATTCAGGAAATGCCAATAAGAGGATTTGATCAAGCACAACGGTGGGATTCGTAGGCTCTCCGATCCTCCGTTGATCGGCGACGCATTTGTAAGGCTTAACGGACTGGAGATGGGCTAAGCCATGGAGCGCTTCCACTACGGTGGCCTTGGTAGTCATCGGTACTGAAATTGGCAGACGCACTTCGAAAAGTAACGACAAGTAGGAGAGCGCCATGCGTGCACGGCGCACAATTGCAGAAGCACCTTATGGGCCGTTAGCGCATCAGGTATGAGAAATGATAGGTAGGGGAAATATAAAGTTCTAGCACGCTTTCCTTCAATTATTTTCTGAACGCACTCACACAAGGGTACCCGACAGGAGGTCCAAGAAATCAGGGACACAGACGGGTCAGCGGACGAGTCGCAGCGCGTGTTGTTGATGTGGGACAAGCTTAGTGGTACATAAAGCCATCAAACTCGCCGCGAAAACACCGCACTCTGCGCTGCGACTCGTTTGCTGACCTGTGTAAGTCTCTGCCTTCTTGCCGCGGACGGGCCTCCTGTCGGGTACCGCTCATGGAATGTAATTCGAGCCAATGTAACAGTCTGCTGCGTTTCTGATGTAAAGAGCTCCTCGGGCAAGGCCACACTCTCTTCGTTCATTCTGGATCGTAGAGGCTTTTGAGGCACCTTTGACTTTCGGCGGCGGCCTTTTGTTATTAAAAAATGGTGCAGATTTTGCGCATCGTAGGGTTGCGGAAGACGTAAATTGATGTCCTCATAGTCTTCAGATTCTGTGAATCGCTATTTCATTTCTCTTTCAGATTTCGGTTCAGCCGTTCAAATCTCCTCCAGGATGCGTTCGACCAAATCCTTGCAGCGGATCCGGTCACACTACGTCGTGCGAGACTATCAATTGCGTTCGACGACGAGGAGGGGTAGGTGTAGCTCAAATCGTTCTCGTCCGTATTCGGTATACATAACATTTTTATGGTAAAAAGCCAATTCCTAATAGGGACAAGATCGTGTGTCGGTCAGGACACCACGATTGCAGAGAGGCGGCAGTAGCAAATGGCGCATAATGGGCCGCATCGAAGTTGATGTACCACTC